AAACTATCCACTACTATAGCCATTGACCATATGTTTAAATTCATTAAAATGAAATGAATTTTTTTTTTTTTTTACTATATTGTCCTTGGTAGAGTGCCATAGCGTCATAGCTCACAGCAGCCTCAAACTCCTGGGCTCAAATGATCCTCTTGTCTCAGTCTCCCAAGTAGCTGGGACTAAGGGCACCCATCAAAATGCCTGGCTAGTTTTTTTTTTTAGAGACTGAATCTCACTCTTGCTCAGGCTTGTCTTAAACTCCTGAGCTCAAGCAATCCGTCTGTTTCAATCTCCCAGAGTGCTAGGATTTACAGGCATGAGCCCTTGTGCCAGGCACGAAATGAAATTTTAAACACTCAATTCTTCAACTGCAGGTGTTATAACCTGATTCTGTAGCCACATTTCAAGTGCTTAGTAGCCACACATGGCTGGGGGCTATTATTGTATTGGACACCACAGGTTATAGAACATAGCCATCATTGCAAAATGCTTTGTCAGACAGCATTCTGAGTTAGAAGGTCTCCAGCATCCTTTCACTTGGAGTCTTCCTAGGGCTGTGTCATCTAAGAATGTGAGTTTTACTTGAACCTATTCCAGTTTTTCCTGTTGCCATAAAGTTCGTCTTATTTGGCCTATATATTCTTCACTGGTGTCTCAGAGCCTCCAGCTAGGTTGGTAGGGGAAGGCATCCATCCCATGCTACCTGTCTTTGAAAATGTTCCCCCCTGTTGAGCAACTGCTGGATCTAGGGCTGTTCAGTGTAGGTTCAAGAAGGGAGAGAAAAGGGTGCAGTTAGAATGAGAGGATCTGCCAAGACCCCTGCCCCCAGCAGAGCTCTCCCAACCAGCTCCTGATCCCTTGCCCCCAGGGGACCAGGTAAGCCTCACTTCCTCCCTGTCCTCTAGGACAAACACCCCAGGGTTCTCCAGTTTCTTCCTGCTGACCCTTCTGGGAATGGAATAGTCTACAGGGCTTCTAAAAGGAAATTTGCATGTGGAAGGCAGTGTCGCTAGGGAAACTGGGCCCAAATCCCAAAGGTAATCCTAGTAGCCAATAGTGAGATAGCTTCAGCCTGGGGCAGAGGCTGGGGAGGCAGATGCTGTCTGCTGCCCCAGGACCTGACCCCTGTCTACCTTTTCCCCTTTCTTCCACCTTGTGGGGGAAGATGAGTATCAGGCGACTATTCCAAGCCTCCCTTCCCTGCCTCCCGTATCACACAGTACCTTTTAAAGCTCCTTCTGGCTGAGAGTCTCTCTGAGATCTGGAACTTTGAGGGTGCACTCCCTTCTAGACTCACAAGATCACCAGCAGGAGGGCTGAGGGTGCTCTGGCTAAGCAGGTCAGCGGGTGGTGCAGCTTTCTGCCCTCTTGCCCCTTCCCCAGCAGGTCTGTGGGTGGGTACCTGTTGTGCGAGGTTCTGCCAAGAAAGAGTCTTGCGTGTTGAGTTGCGTATGATGTAGTAGGGTGCCCTGTCTCCTTTAATACCCACCTTCTTAACCGATTTCATTCATTCATTCATTTATTCCGCAACTTTTAATTGGTACCTAAGCAGAAGTCAGGCACTGGGCCAGGCTTTGAGGATGCAAATGTAGAAGAGGTTGCCGCCTACTCTATACTCCTGCAGGGCATGGCTATGGTATGTGCCTGTAAATGACAGTTATACTAGTTTGATAAGGGCTGCTGTGGAAACACTGGCAGAGGGAGGGGAGCCAGGCTTTCAGGAGGAAGCACCCTGTAGGTTTAGAGGAAGAAGTGAAGAGAGAATAGACAGAAGGAAGAGCATGTGTGTTTCTTCATGTCTGGGCCATAGCAAGACTCACTGCCCAGCTAGAAGACGAGGTAATGCAGGCCTTGAGTGAGTCTGGAATTTTCCTGAAGGGAATGAAGAGCCATAGATAGGCTTCAAGCTAGGGCAGAGCCTAAAGAGCTCTGTACTTTAGGAAAGTCATTCAGGTCTCAAGAAAGAGAGTAGCTTTGGTTGGAGTGAGGGATAAGAAAGTGGCCCAGATCACACTGTACCCCATGACCGCATTAAGGTACACAGCTATGATTTAACAAAAAAAAAAAAAAGAAAGAAAGAAAGAAAGAAAGTGGCCCACATCTTCACAGATGAAGGAAACGAGCTTGGAGAGCTGCCGGGCCACACAGCTTCTAAATTGCAGAGCCCAGGAAGCTGAGCCAAGAGGATTGCTCAACCCCAGCAGTTTGAGGTTGCTATGAACTATGATGCCACAGCAGTCTACCCAGGGTGACAGAGTAAGACCCTGTCTTAATAAATAAATAAACAAATGAATGAATGAATGAATGAATGAATTGCAGAGCCCTGTTGGAGGCCAGAGTTCTCTGATACCAAAGCCTTTCCCCTACCCCATGCTGCTGGGTGCTGTGGCAGAGATACAGGTAAAATTCAACCCCAAGCTGAATGTCATCTAGCTAAAGAGACCTGACTATTGCCATGGGTGTGTGCCTAGGGGCCCAGGAAGAGGTCTGGGTGCTGGGGATATCAGGAAAGTTCCCCCCTAGAGAGGCCAGCTTGATGTTGAAGAATGAGTAGAATCCTCCTGGAAAGGAGGAAGGTGTTTCTGGTACAGCACATGAGAGGGACACTGAGCCCCACGGTTAGGACTAGGTAGAGGAGATGGTCTCAGGGTGATCTTGGGACTGGGAAAGGGCTGGCAAGGATGCAGGAAGTCCAGCATGCCAGACTAAGCAACATACAAGTGATGGTGGGCAGTGGGGAGCCTGGAAGCCCTTTGAGCAGGTGACACAAGCTTAGGGTCTCAGAGTGTTCCAAACGACACAAGTAATTCTAACTTAATATTCCCCATGATGACATTATAAACTCCTATTTTATGGAAGAGGAAACCAAGGCTTAGAAACTTTAAGTTGCTTGCCCAAAGTCACCTTAACAACTAAGTGGCACTCATTCTTCAGAACTCAGTTCAAACATTACTTTCCAGATACCCCAGGCCAGCACAGTCGCCCAGTTATGGGTTCTCATAGCACAATACTATTTTATGGACCTCATTACAATTCTTAACAGTTGTAATTAAAGAAGTAATTGGGAGATGATTTGTTTTAGTATCTTTCTCCTCTGCTTGAATGTAAGCTCTGGGAGGAGGTTTTCTTGCTCTGGGCTTTGTGTGTGGTGGAAACTTTGGATGAGTTTGCTGGGAGGAAGGATAGGGCAGCAGAACACAGGACCAGTCTTCCTCCTGGTCCTCATCTATTTCCCCCTCACCTGTTCCTCCTCTTTCTCCTGCTACAGGTGGCTTCTGGCTTGGTGTGGACCAGGAGGGAGCAGAGGGTACCCTGTCCCTGACGGGCACCCTCTTTGGTGTGCTGGCCAGCCTGTGTGTCTCACTCAATGCCATCTACACCAAGAAGGTGCTCCCGGCGGTGGACGGCAGCATCTGGCGCCTGACCTTCTACAACAATGTCAATGCCTGTGTCCTCTTCCTGCCTCTGCTACTGCTGCTCGGGGACCTGCGGGCCCTGTGGGACTTTGCCCAGTTGGATAGCGCCCACTTCTGGGGGATGATGACACTCAGTGGCCTATTTGGCTTTGCCATTGGCTACGTGACAGGACTACAGATCAAGTTCACCAGTCCCCTGACCCACAATGTGTCGGGCACGGCCAAGGCCTGTGCCCAGACGGTGCTGGCTGTCCTCTACTACGAGGAGACCAAGAGCTTCCTCTGGTGGACAAGCAACATGATGGTGCTGGGGGGCTCTTCCGCCTACACCTGGGTCCGGGGCTGGGAGATGAAGAAGACTCAGGAGGAGCCCAGCCCCAAAGAGGATGAGAAGAGCACCTTGGGCGTATGAGCTCCTCCAGGGCCTCTGGATGGCCCGGCCTTGGGAGGAATACTCGAATGGGGCCAGCACAGCAATGAGGTCTGTCCCCGTGGACTCTGTGCTATGTTGTGGGTATTGTTCACAGACCTGATCAGAATGCAGTGTTTTCAAGTAATATCAGAAAGTTACCAAAACTCTCTACCTTCTTTCCAGTTTCAGGAAAAAATGTCCTTCCCTAGAAGGACACCCTAGTGGGAGTGACACCCCTTCTTGCCCCTTCCCAGGGCCTGTCTACCTCCACATCACTCTGGGAGTGGGAGTGGGATGCAACTTTTAAGGGACAGTATTGGCATAGCTATGAAGTCTTCACTTATACTCAGGGGAGATGGGGCGTGACACCACCACAGCAAACTGAGGTGAGTCTGGAAACCTTCCATCTCTAGCAGACAGGCAGCATAGCTTTGGCCCCACAAACCAGCCTTCCTTCAGAGGAGCGTGTGGGCTGGGCTGAAGGAGGGAATGAAGGAGTGTCCTCTGAGACCAGCAGACCCAGGGGTTGCTGGGCAGGGAGAGGCCTGGGAATGGGGTGGATCAGGAGAAAGTGCCCACCACCTGCACCCTGTAGTTCCAGCTTTTGAACATGAAAAACCACACACTCTTACAAATTAAACAGGGTCATTAACATCTTCCATACCTGCCTGGTTTCTCTGCCCCAAGGAGAGACTGCCTCTTGTCTCCCACCTGCTTCTCCCATTTCCCAATTCTGCATCCCTCTATGCCTTCATCCTCAGGAGGGGCTAATGGAGCAAGGGTCAGGGGCTCAGAGTCTTCCATATCAGCTGTGCCTGGTCCCCAGATTCCTGGGGAGGGGGGATGAGAATCAGACTCTGAGTCTCTTTCCTTGTGAAGGTGATAAATATATTTCCATTCTTCTCTGAAGTTGGGGCTGCAAGAACTGCTGCTTGTCCCCAGTCTTAGTTTAGCAGGCTAAACCTATAAAAAAAAAATACCTATAAAAAAATACCAAGGACTGGGTGGCTTACAAACAACAGGAATTTATTTCTTATAGTTCTGGAGGCTGGGAAGTCCAAGGTCAAGGTACCAGCAGAGCCTGCTGAGGGCCTGTTGCCTGATTCATAGATGGTGCCTTCTTGCTGTGTCTTTACGTGGTAGAACACAAATGAGTTCCCTCCAGCCTTTTACAAGGGCACAAATCCCATTCATAAGGGCTCTTCCTCTATAATCTAACCACCTCCAAAGGCCCCACCTCCTATACCATTACCTTGTGGATGAGGATTCCAACATATGTACTGGGCAGACACAAACATTCAGACCATAGCACCCGCTTACCACACTCTGCTGGCCTCAGGGTGCCTTTCGCTCTCCTTGTCCCTTCTGGGGGGCATTTTGTACCTCCTATCTCCTTGGGGTGATTTGTGATGTTTTTAGTCCTAATGAAAAGCTGGGGAGAGTGGGTCTTCTCCCCACTTTGTTTCCAGCCCAACACAATCCCAGGTGGTTTCTAATGCAGTTCGTGGGGCCTGATTCCCTGAGTTGTGTAATTTAATAAAGAACCAGAGCAAGACATCCTGTGTGTGTGGACTGAGTAAAGGGGCCCAGGGCCTAGGGAGGAGCTGGGGAGCTGTCCGAGACAGCTGCCCTCACCAAGCTTGGCTGCCAGCAGGTGGCCCTCCCAAGTGGTTGTTCTCTCTTAGGAAAGGAGTCAACCCAAACACCAGGGCTCCTTCCTGGGAGGTGGGTGACTGCCATTTACTGGGTGTGTGCTGGGATTCACACACTGTACTGAATGTTGTATATCCACCATTCATCTTCATAGTCCCCCACAGTCCATGAGGTGGGTGCCCCCAGTGATCCCCTATTTTATAAGATGATGACACTGAGGCTCAGAGAGGACCACAGCCAGGAGGAAGCAGCAGTAGGATTCAGACAGAGGTCTCTGCCTTCACAGGGTGAGTACTTAACCAATGCACTTAACTACCTAGTGCTCTGATTTCCCTCTCTACCCAGCATTGTTTTTTCTGAGTACCTGTTACCCATATGTGCCAGGCACTATGGTAGGTCATTGGTCTGGTCTATTTTGTGTTGCTATGAAGGACTGCCTGAGACTGGGTAACTTATTTAAAAAAAAAAAAAAGACTTATTTGACTCACAATTCTGATGTCTAGAAAAGTACAAGGTGGACATCTGTACCTGATAAGGAACTTGGGCTCGCGGTGACAGGCAAACGAGAGAGTATAAAGATTGCACAGTGACTGGCTCAGCACTTGTAACTCAGTGAGGAGGGTGCCAGCCACCCACCGAGGCTAGCGGGTTCGAGCCTGGCTAACAACAATGACAACTGCAACCAAAAAATAGCCGGGCATTGTGATGAGTGTCTGTAATCCCAGCTACTTGGATTCAGGGAGTGACTGTGCAGGGCTAGGTCTCTGGGCCTATGATGGGAAGAATGGGCCTTTTTCTCATTGTGTTGACTATTAGCACCTGGCTCCCATGCTAAGCATCCTGTCGGTTCCATTCAACCATATTTTGGGGTTCCTCTCTTGAAAATACTCTCTCCTTCTCTACCTTGTGGCCAGACT